AAATGATTTTTCTACCTGAACCATCTCATCGGTCCATTTCAGAGAAATGTCCCCTATAAAACATCATCTCATCACTGATCAGTGACAATGTCTTACTGAGATATTTCATGTTTTATTCGGTTTATCTCGTACTGAACCGACACCTCTTCCGAGTCAAGGCCTGATTATTGCCGTAGTCTTTCGTGATACTTACCGGAGTTGATCTTCTTCAGCTCGTCTCTCTCTTCTCTCAAGGAATTACGCTGTGAAACTGTCATTTTCAGTGGAGAGGTTAGAGGAGAGGTGTTAGTGCGAAGAATAAATACGTGTTAGACTATGGAATTCTTATGCTCGGTGCATTTACATTAATTGTTAAATGTGCAAGTTATTTTATATATTTATTCAGTTTCATTCTGCCTAACAGTACTATGCACAAGACAAACAATGTTTTTCTTGAAAACATTGTGGGCAAAGTGTCTTTACTAACACTGCGGTGGGAAACACCTGCGTTTGACCTGAGTTTCAGACGCTAAACTGGAAGTGAAAATGACTTACTGAGAGTCAGACGCGGGGAAATGCTGAGAGCAGCTTGTAGGATACACAGGAGTCCAAAACTCACAGCAACCAGCCTGAAGAGTTTAAATCCTGTGTGTAGCACGCGCACACACACACACACACACACACACACACACACACACACACACACATGCCTTATAGTGTAATGATTGCTGTTATTGGAACTTTGAGAGCTTTATGTCCCCAAAAGGTATTAAATTCTCTATAGTGTGACTATGTAAACTGAACAATGATTAATACAAGTACATAAATAATCTGATCAAACTTTATACTGACAGATCAATTTCCTGGAGGTTTACTGTAACCCAACCCTTATTCTAAAAACCACCGATTCCCTAATAGATTAGTGGAGAACATTTTGAGGAAGTTGAGGTGTTCCTTGTTGTTTTCCACCTACTCTCTGTCTTCTTCTTTATCAAAAGAAACCTTTACTTCCTCCTAAATTAAAATGACAAAGTCTCCCAAATAATACAAACTCGAATATGAACACATCTGTGACATCTGAGCAAGAGCTTTTAAAGATTAATGAAAGGTGATATGACGATGTAGACAAAGGTCTATTAGAAATCATAATGTACATGTATAAATAAACATCATACACTGTCAAAATAAAAAAAAAACAATCAAAAAGCTGTGAAAATCTGGCAGCAAGGAGGCCAGAAGAAATAAGTTAAAAACTGTAGAACAATGTAAGATTCAAAAACTGTAAAAACACTGAAAATATGTGCTAATATTTGTGAAATTATTATACTTTTAGCTCATTTATTTTCATATTTTTGTCAAATAAAAAAGAAAAACTTGGACATCGATTTGTAAATAAGTTCATTTTTTTCTGTGATTTCACGAGATATTATATCTAACTTAAACATTACAGTTTAAAAAGGGTTAAAAAAAATGTACAGTTTAGTTTAATGAATGTATATGCAAACAACAGCGATTTTAACATAAAACAGAGATTTTTGGAGGTATTCTACAATCGGGAATAAAATTTTCTCTTTGCTCAAAGTTTACAATTTAATACACAACATGAGATGTTAATGGTGAAGATTTTGTCTGTGTCACGTTTATGTTTAACACTAAACCTCAAAATTATTGTGTAACTGGACAATTTGCGTCTCACCAGGTGTTGCAGCAGCGACTGTACTGTCTTCACCAGAGCGGCTCTTTGATGCAGCATCACTGTGAGAAGCAGCTCTGAAGTTCTGATGCACTGAGCTCTCAGGTTCTTCTTCATGGACAACCATTTCCATGTTATACATCGTGGACAGTGACACGGCTGTTGGTTCCAGTGATGTCTTCAAATGGTGCTGATCTGAGATGTGAATCTCCTTTTATGGCTCTCTCCATGTGAAACACTTGTTCTTCCTCTTTTAAGGGAAGTCATTTACAGCTGAACTCATTCGATCACAGAAAATAAATACCATCGACAAGTGAATGTTACACAACAGAAAGTGAGTTTCCTTCTTTTATGAGGTGTTTAAGCCCTCTCTTAACTCTGTGAGTGCAAGTTTTAACACTTTTGGATGGTACAATTTAGCAAAAAGTTTATAAAACTGATATCAAAAACTATTTTCTTTCTGCATGACTGCATTAAGAAGACACATTTCACTCCACAGTAACCAAACTTAGTTCAGAACTCAATTCTCCCATTAATCAAGTCAGATTTATTCATAAAGCACACAATTAAAATGGCAAGATACAAAACCCGATAAAATGAAATGAATAAAAGATACAATTAAAAGAAAAAACAATTTAAAAAATACATGTTGCAGCTCATTAAGTGATGAAGTCAGGGTGTGAAGCACGACTAGAAATGTTAAAGCAAAAAGGTTTGCTGTTGGCAGCAACTTACAAATTTCTATCTGTCCTCTGTTTTGTGTGTGTGTCTGTGTTTGTGTGTACATATGTGTACTTTATGACACTTTTTTTTTTTAATCTCACTGTGTGCAGTCAATCTTTACCTTCCGCCAGATTAACTGGTCTCTGTTTGGTGTGTCTCTCTTGCTATGACTTGTCTCTAATGACGTTATTGTTGCTGGTCTATAGTGGATGTCTTTTATTTTGCAGATTGCTGCAACAGGTCTGTAACAGGTTGCTGTAGAAACGAATAAAGTGACAAACTTTCCAGAGAAAAATTGACATAGAGCTCCAAAAACTGAATGATGATCTTCTTCTGATCTATGCAGAGTTACACCGTTTGAAAGAGGCAGTCACTTCCTATTTAAACATGCAGTTCTCAACAGGAAACTGAGGGCTGAAGTATTTTTAGGACAACCACCTTTACTCATTTGACCTGTATGTTGCAGCTGCATAAATGTTCTTCCAGGTTCTTTTAGAGATAAAGTGATGAACAAAAGTTTACGTACACTTGTAAAGTCTTGAGTTTCCAGAATCATTTAAACATAATAAATAAATCTTCTGGAAATATGACAAAATCTTTAGTCAGATGAAACAAAAAAGAACTATTTGGCCACAATAACCAGAAATAGGTTTTGAGGCCTTTAACCCCATGAACACCAATCCTACCGTTGAGCATGGTGGAGGTAGTATCATGCTCTGGGGCAACGAAAATGGAATAATGAAGAAGAAGGAGGATTACCTCCATATTCTGCAGGAAAAACTAAAATCATCAACTTTCAGTCATCAGTCTTGGATGCACTTAGGTGTTCCAACAAGACAATTACCCTCAACATACACATGTAACATGGTAAAAGAATGATTAAATCAGCTAGAATTAGGACTTTAGACTTAAACTCCATAGAGAACCTGTGGACTGTGTCAGAAAGTCAAAAATCTTAGTTGATTTGCCGCAATTTTGTCAAGAGGCGTGGTCAAAGATACAACCTGGAGCTTGTGGACGGCTACAAAAAG